ATTCATGACTTTTGCTATTCATTTTTGTTTTAAAATGACATCATATAGAAACATGAAACTTTAAGTATTTCATCAAACCTTGCAGTCCTATCTAAGAGTTATAAATGTTTCAAATTGTTACTGAATATTTATGAGCACATGCCATATTTTTAAAGCATATAAGGACCATTTACCGACTTAAGTTCTTCTATTGACAACTATATATAGTATTACTATCAATTATTGAAACATTTAATTACATTCAAAACAAATTTCCCAGCATCAATAAATGACATATTGTCTTCCATAATTTGTATAAAATTGAATACAAGAAGTTTATACTACTGAGAACAAATTTAATACATTCAATATTCATCACTCATGTTAACATGCAACTTTATAATCATGAATATTTTAACAGACTTTACCGATTATATACTGAAGTGGGTGTATGACAATAAAAATGAAAATTCGCATTGACAATATCGAAATCTAACTTCCTTTTTAATGATAGCATGGAAAGAAACACTAAATACAGATTTGTACCTCTGTGTGATTATTAGGCTTAAAAATGAAAAAAGATGGGGGGATAAATTTGGTGGACGAAGAGCCTGTAGTGCGACTGATATGAAGTGAAAAATTTTATCCCAATCATATCCAAATTTTACTTGATATTTTATCTACCAGTTAATATTAAAGTATACTTAATGTAAAATCTCTACAATTTACAACAAGAGGCCCAAGGGCCTTGAATCGCTCTTCTGATAAATTGTACAATCTATCACTTCTATTAGAAGCCTCCAACTCTATTAGAATCATAAGACCCAAAATGCATCAACTTACAAAGTTTGATAATATTTAGCCAGTTAAGACTGAAGATATTATAATATGATTATAAAATACCATAAGTAGGTCACAGTGACCTACCTTTTGATTGAAATTTTCTGAGGACTCCAAATACATTAATTGACAAAGACTGATGATTCTAATTAAATAAGTACCTGAGATATTCAAAAGTAGGTCACCATGACCTACTTTTTGGTCAACATTCTCTGAAAACCCAAGATGCATCATCTGACAAAGTTTGACGATTCTAAGCCAATTAGTACCAGAGATAATTAAATATAGCCATCAAATGTACAAAGTAGGTCAGGGTGACCTACTTTTTGGTCGACGTTATTAAAAACCCATAATGCCTAAATTGACAAAATTTGATGATTCTAAGCCAATAAGTACCTGAGATATTCAAAATTAGGTCACCTTGACCTACTTCTTGTTGGACATTCAATGAAACCCTAAGATGCCTCAACTGACAAAGTTTGATAATTCCGAGCCAATAAGTACCAGATGTAATTAAATATAGCCATAAAATGTCAAAAGTAGGTCACTGTGACCTACTTTTTGTTCAACAATCTACGAAAACCCAAGATGCCTCAACTGACAAAGTTTGATGATTCTTAGCCAATAAGTGCCTGAGATACTTAAACATAGCCATAAAATGTCAAAAGTAGGTCACTGTGACCTACATTTTGGTCGCCGTTCTCCGAAAACCCAAGATGCATCAACTGACAAAGTTTGATGATTTTAGGTCAATAAGTACCAGAGATACTTAATCATAGCCACAAAATGTCAAAAGTAGGTCACCATGACCTACTTTTTGGTCGTCACTCTCCAAAAACCCAAGATGCATCAACTCACAAAGTTTGATGATTCTAAGCCAATAAGTACCGGAGATACTTAAATAAAGCCATAAAATGTCAAAAGTAGGTCACCGTGACCTACTTTTAGGTCATCACTCTCCTAAAACCAAATATGCATGGACTCACAAAGTTTGATGATTCTAAGCCAATAAATACCTAAGATACTCAAATATAGCAATAAAATGTCGAAAGTAGGTCATCGAGACCTACATTTTGGTCAACATTTTTCAAAGACCCACGATGCATCTACTGACCAAGTTTGATGATCGTAGGTCTGAAGGTAATCAAAATATGCGTTTTAAACAATTTGAAAACAAATGTCGGCAAAATTCAAAACGTAGGTCACAGTGACCTACTTTTTCATAAATATGTTCTAAGGTCCCAAGATGCATCAAAGTACAAGATTTGATGATTCTAAACCTCCCAGTGTCTGAAATAATGGGATTTAATGTTTTTAAAAGGATAAGTCATAAAGTTCAAAAAGTAGGTCATGGTGACCTACTTTTAAGTTGACATTGTTCGAGGACCCAAGATGCATCAACTGACAAAGTTTGATGATCATAGGCCTTAGTGTCCAAAATATGCCTTCAAATCAATTTGAAAACAAATCCCCGCAAAATTTAAAAAGTAGGTCATCATGACCTACTTTTGAGTTAACATGACGTAAAGTCGTAAGATGCATCAACTTACAAGAATTAATGATCCTAGTCCTTATAGTTAGCAAAATATACACATTTTTATTAATTGTAAATTTAGGTCAAATTTGAAGTGACCTTGAGACCACGCCCTTTGCCCCAGGGTAATTTCCCGTGCAAATTTTAATCTTCGACATATCCTGATCCTTATACGTAAGTTTGGTGAAAATCTGCCTGGTGGTTATGGAGAAGATTTTTTAGCAACCAGTACTTTTGGTTTTGTTTTCCTGATTATCTCCCCTTGTTTAAGGGTCCCAACCCTTATTTTAGTATAAATGGTAGCCCTTGGGCCAAGGATACCAGGTGACAAATTTGGTACTGATTGGCCAAGGAGTTCTTCAGTTATGGCCCATATTCTAAAAAGTTTACGCACACCGCACACTGCACAAATGGCCATAGCATTAGCTCTTTGAGCCTTTGGCTCAGAAGAGCTAAAAATCTCACAAAGACTGAAAATATTTTGTCTATGAAAATCGTACACACACTAAAAAGAACAAAAACGATCATTTTCTGATACTTTAACAAATTTTTTCAATAGGAGTGGGTCTTCACTCCATTTTTTGGAAAGATGAACCTAAAAGTTTGCAATAAAATAATTTTATACATTTTTTGGTTTACAAAAACATGGAGCAAAGACCCACTATACCTTAAAAGTACACTTTTATTACAAAACATCTGCATCTTTCAGAGAAATATTTCAAGTTCATAAGTCATATCACAAACATGATTTAAATGCCCAAATTATTCATGAGCTATGTAGTATGGTAGTTAGCGCGTTAGTCTCAAAGCAATATGATACGTCATATTTTTATTGCTAGGGTTCAAATCCCATGAATATCATCGAATATTTTTATAAAAGAAAAAAATTACGAGATTTTTTTCTCTCAGAGTGGTTTTTTTTGGCATAAATTCATAAATTTCAATGGTGAGAAGTTAATTTAAATACTCAATTCACATACTGAATATGATTTCTTGATATCTGACGCTATAAGCATTCTGCCTGCCTTGTTCCCCAATCTTCTTTACGAATTGTTTGGTAATAACCTAATTTCCCATGATCTTTCTAAAAATTGATTACCACAGCTATAAGACTGGTGTACTTACCATTGCAATCTTAATAAAATACAAGTTTCTTTCTTTTTTCAGACAATATTTTTCTGAATCAGAAAATATAACATCCACTTAACCACATTTAAAACATAATACTCATATATGAGTCAGTTTTAAGACCCTGTTATGCATAAATACCTCTGCGTTTCTTTAATAACAGCAGTGGTGAGTTTGAGTGCATCCAATTCCTCATGTGTAATTGTTCTGTTTATATCATCACCCAATACTAATGACATTTCACCTCTGACCTTTTGTTGAAGGTCAGGTCTCTCTGAGAGCTGCAGAAGGGTCCAGGTGAGGGCAATGCTGGTGGTCTTAAAGTATAGAATAAAGCATGTAGCTTTCTGAAAAGGGTAAGCTTTCAAAAAGATCTAAAAAACTAATTACAAAACTCTAAATATTTAAGAAGGGGTGGGGGGTGGGGTGGGGAGTTTAAAGCTACATAAATCGTCCTCATCATCTGAGGATTTTAACCTGTTTATACAGATTATTTCATTCAAAAACAATAACTGACTACTCTGCTTTCTCTTATATGATTAAGCTGCATAAACAAAATTTCGTTTTATATGTATAGCTGAAATTTCTGTTTCATACCTAAAATATTCGGAAAACTTAAAGTGAAAATAAGTGCAAATTATTACATTATAAATCCCTTATTATCATATAAATTATGAAAGCAAAATACAGCTGATTTTTAATTAAATCAAGTCAAGGGTACAAATAGTAAAACATTACAAATTACATCAAATCCAGCCAGCAGGAAGCCAAACACCTGATCGATCAGTTCTTTTTTTGACAGGTGTGATCCTTCTGTGTCACAGGCTGTTGTCAACATCGTCAAAATATCTCTTCTAGTGGACTCTTAAACAAAATTATCAAACATCATCAGAATATCTCTTCTAGTGAATTCTTAAGCTTCACCAGTCAATATTGATATTTTTCTGGTGAATAACAAACCATATTCAATACCAAAGAGTCCATAATTGTATATTATCTCCATATACTGTATATCCGTTTTTTTCCTGATGATCTATTTTTCACTTTTTTGCGATCATTTTTAATTCGCGAAATATAAAACATGCAGAAATTATGTCAGCAAAAATGTGACATAAAAACATAACCATTTTAAATAAACAAGAGGCCCACGGGCCTTATAGGTCACCTGTGTATTGTGTAACAACTTTTAAACATTTAAATTTTGTTCGTGTTTTAAACCAGAGGCCATGAAATTCACAATTTTGAAAGAGGCACCATAGCTTATCATAATGAGTCCATAATTGTATATTATCTCCATATACTGTATATCCGTTTTTTTCCTGATGATCTATTTTTCACTTTTTTGCGATCATTTTTAATTCGCGAAATATAAAACATGCAGAAATTATGTCAGCAAAAATGTGACATAAAAACATAACCATTTTAAATAAACAAGAGGCCCACGGGCCTTATAGGTCACCTGTGTATTGTGTAACAACTTTTAAACATTTAAATTTTGTTCGTGTTTTAATCAAGAGGCCTCGAAATTCACAATTTCAAAAGAGGCAACATTGCTTATCATAATTGTAAACTTAGCGAGCTTAATCTATTTACTTAATACCCAGAGGTAGATCAGAGTAACAAAGAGAAAATATACTTCCCCTTTATAACCAGTTGTGCACCTCACCCCAAGGAACCACTGACCCTGGGGCCACATATTTCAAAATTTTGCAAATTTTATCATAAAATTGTTGATTAAAACCAAAGAGCAGATTTCAAAGCATTAATTTATTTGCAGACTATGTAACCCCTCCCCCCTTCCGACCCAGGGGGGGGGGGGGCATAAAAATAACCATTTTGCTAGATGCACCTTTCTTTATCATAAATATACATTGGCATAAAACCCAGGAGGAAAGGAAAAAATTTTCAAAGAAATTATGTCTTTTCACTATATAAATAATAGAGCCCCGCCCTAACACCAGAACCCATAAAATTCGAAATTTTGGTAGAGGCACTCTTGCTCATCATAACTATGACCTTAGTTAGTTATATGTCCTTAGTTTATTTAATACCTAGGAGCAGAAGATTTTCAAAGAATTCATGCATTTTCAGTATATGATCAATAGAGCCCTGTCCTGACACCAGAACCCCTGACCCTTGGGCCACAAAATTCACAATTTTGGAAGAGGCACTCTTGCTCATCATAACTATGTACTTAATTTATTTAATAGCCAGAAGCAGAGATTTTCAAAGAATTAATGCATTTTTCACTATTAATCAATAGAACCCCGCCCTAACACCAGAACCCCTGACCCTGGGGCCATAAAATTCATAATCTTGGAAGAGGCACCCTTGCTCAACATAACTATGTGCTTAGTTAGTTTATTTAATACCCAGAAGCAAAGAAGAAGATTTTCAAAGAATTAATGCACGTTTCACTATAAGTTCAATAGAGCCCCGCCCTAACACCAGAACCCCTGACCCTGGGGCCATAAAATTCACAATTTTGGAAGAGGCAATCTTGCTCATCACAACTATGTACTTAATTATTTTATTTACTACCCAGAAGCAGAGAAGAAGATTTTCAATGAATAAATGCATTTTCACTATATAATTATAAATAGAGCCCCACCCTAACATCAGGACCCCTGACCCTGGGGCCATAAAATTCACAATTGTGGAAGAGGCACTCTTGCTCAACATAACTGTGTGTTTAGTTAGTTTACTCAATACCCAGGAGCAGAGAAGAAGACTTTCAAAGAAGTAATGCATTTTCACTATATAATCTATATAGCCCCACCCTAGCACTAGAACCCCTGACCCTGGGGCCATGAATTTCACATTTTGGTAGAGGACTCAATGCTGATTACATTCATGCCAACAGTTGCCTGCCTGATGTCCAGGAGTAAAGAAGAAGAATTTTAAAGATTGCAATAATTTTAGTGGTTTTGGCCCTACCCCTATAAGGCCCTGGGGGGGGGGGGGATCATAAAATTCACAATTTTTGTTTCCCTTCACCCATAGATGTTGTATACCAAATTTGGTTGAAATTGGTGCAGTGATTTCAGAGAAGAAGCTGAAAATGTTCAAATGTTAACACACGATACACGACGACGGACAAAAACGGATAGCAGTAGGTCACCTGAGTTACTCAGGTGACCTAAAAAATCTTTAATCGTAAAAAATAACTTATGCAAAATAAAAACTATACTAATCTACCCTGACTTCGCAAAATTTCTAACACACGAAAAAAAAACAGATGTACGGTCTTTCATCGAGGAAAGTAGAAAGGTATAACTGTTAAAAAATTTTAACCAATTGAATCAATTTCTTGAACAAGAGGCCCATGGGCCACATCACTCACCTGAGCAATGTGGCTAGGAAAAAAAGCAGAAATCGGTTTATTATTGAAAAGTTTAAACCCAATAGTGGTCCTGACCAACTACACTAACTAAAGATGCTTGCATATTTCTTTGACTACCTGTGGCTTTATTGCCCTTCACATCTGAACTTACATTGTGGCCCAGTCCTACCCCCAGGGGTCACGACTGAAACAAATTTGAATCTACACTACCTGAGAATGCTTCCAAATGAACAGGACTAATCATGGCTTTGCTATTCTTGAAAAGAAGAATTATAAAGATTTTTTTCTACATGTTTCTATGTAAAACTTGGATTCCATGTTGTGGCCCCTCCCAACCCCAGGGGGTCATGATTTGAACAAATCTGAATGTACACTAACTGGGGATGCTTCCATATGAATATGATTATTCATGCCTTTGCTATTCTTGAGAAGAAGACTTTTATAGAATTTCCCTTTATATTTCTATGTAAAACTTTGATTGGCCATTGTGGCCCCGCCCTAACCCCAGGGGTCATGATTTGATTAAACCTGAATCTACACTACCTGAGGATGCTTCCATATAAATATGATCATTCATGCCTTTGCTAATCTTGAGAAGAAGATTTTTAAAGAATGTTCCTATATATTTCTATGTAAAACTTTGATTAGCCATTGTGGCCTCGCCCTACCCCCAGGGGTCATGATTTGAACCTGAATCTACACTACCTGAGGATGCTTCCATATAAATATGATCATTCATGCCTTTGCTAATCTTCAGAAGAAGATTTCTAGAGAATTTTTCTATATATTTCTATGTAAAACTTTGATCAGCCATTGTGGCCCCACCCTACCCCCGGGGGTCATGATTTGAACAAACCTGAATCTACACTACCTGGGGATGCTTCCCTATAAGTTTCATCTTTCCTGGCAGTGGTTCTTGAGAAGATTTTTTAAGAATTTTCCTGTATCTTTCTATGTAAAACTTTGATCCACCATTGTGGCCCCGCCCTACCCCCGGAGGTCATGATTTGTATAAACTTAAATCTACACTACCTGAGGATGCTTCCCTATAAGTTTCATCTTTCCTGGCACAGTGGTTCTTGAGAAGATTTTTAAAACATACCATAAAATTTTCATTATTTCTTAATTACAATGTATCTCCCCTTGAAGAAGGGCGTGTCCTTCGTTTGAACAAACTTGAATCCCCTTTACCTAAGAATACTTTGTGCCAAGTTTGGTTGAAATTGGCCCAGTGGTTCTTGAGAAGAAGTCGAAAATGTGAAAAGTTAACGACAACAACGACAGACAACAGACAAACTTTGATCAGAAAAGCTCACTTGAGCCTTAAGCTCAGGTGAGCTAAAAAGTATATTTCTTTTGAACTTAACATTCTTCAACTGAAGCTCAATCTTATGGCAAGCCCTTCTACTATTTATTTGTGAACAAAATAATTCTTTCAATAAGAGAGATACCTCTTTAGCAGAGAGAGAAATATCTTAAGCTAATAGAGATATCTCTTTGACTAATAGAGATATCTTTATACCTTAGAGAGATGTCTCTTTAAACAAAGGAGATATCTCTCTTTGTAAGAAGGATATCTCTTTTACTTACAGAGATATCTTTATTAGCTAGAGAGATACCTTTTTAAGTGAGAGAGATATCTCTTAAAATTAGAGAGATATCTCTTCAACAAAGTTAAAAAAAGATATCTCTTTAGATCTTCATAAAGAGATATCTCTTTTAGCTCAAGAGATATCTCTTTTAATGAAAGAGATATCTCTTTTTCAGCAGTCCTCTAAATAAAATAATTAATTTTTCCCATCCATACAAAAGCAAGACAGGAAGTATAAGTCTCTGGAATAATTTTGCTTTTTGAGAAAAAACTAAGCATGTCATACCCAGAATAAAATATTAACCATGTAGACAAAAATGCTATTAATCTCTTGTTTGAAACAACAAAAAGATAAATGGCAACATCGTTGATAAATATGCTCAAAGTTTAATATTCGGGAAAACGAAAGTAATTGCAATGGACTGAATTTTCTCAGCTTATGAAATAAACTACTATAATTACTAATTTGAAACCTAAACAACATTGAATTACTTGTCTTGTTTAGCAAAGCTATAATGTAGAATATGTCATATTTTCAAAATGCTTGAATGTACTTCTGTGAATAATAAACTTACTTACCGTAAAGGGAGAAGTCATTCAAAACACAATTTAAATAAAAATAATGAAGAGAGATCTCTTTTCAATTCAAAGGGATATCTCTTTTTTCTTCAATGATATCTCTTTTGTACACTTTTGAAAGATATCTCTTTCACTTTGAGAGATATCTCTTAAGATAAACTAAGAGAGATATCTCATTT